CATATTTTTCTTTCATTTGGTCGGTCCTTCCAGTTTAGTTAGTCTTTGTTCTTGCTTTGTCTCCATACCTTGGATTTCCCCCCTCCCCTATGTTTTTGACTTCATTTTGGCCTTTGGTTTACTTCAAGGTTTGTTTTATCTCCGTAGACTTGGGTTTCAACCATTAAAGCTTACATTTGTTCATGACCTCTGCCACTTGTGTCCTGTGTTTGGGTCCCTCCAATCTACTAATCATAATAAATTAAAGGTTACCATTTATTCTTCAGATCTACCCCCCCCCAACAAAAAACAATTGACCTTTTTATAACCCATAACCAGTCAAACACCTCTTGACTTTAATAGGGTTTAAATAGTTGGCTATTCAACCTTTTAAGACAATTTTTTGAAGATCATTACTTGCTCAGCACACGCCAGTAACGTCCTAGATTTTCTATGTAATAACTTGGTTTTATTTTTTAACCATGCCAACAAGTATATATATATATATAAAAAAATGAACAATCCAATTAAAGGAACTTTGTTCCCATGCTACAGTATTGTTTGACCTGTTTGTGGTGTTGACCGCTATGATGCATGTTGACTTAAATGCTTGTTGACTGAAAACGACGCAGTGCTGTCGTACACTGTTATAGGTGCAAAAATGCAAACAAAGAGTCATTTTAGCCCTCAGCTGGGTGGTTGCTCGGCAACTCGCTAACATTGTCTTTTGTAATGTGTAATTTGGCTTTTGCAGACAAAACTGAGACTGCCATGAAGTTAAAATCACAGAATGCATTCATGAGACGTTGTAGTTGCATGAAAGCAAAAAGGAAAAAAGAGGTAATTTTAGCCCACTGGTAGGTAGTTGCTAAACAACATGATGAACTCATAATGTCTGATATAGATAAGGACCTTGAGGGGCCTAGGAGGTACCTGTGTGCCACTTTTAGCAGCTCAACTCTTAATCGTGTAGGAGGAGTTTGCGGACAAAGAAACAAACAGACAGACAGAGCTTTTGTGTTTTATAGCAAGATAAATGAAAAATCAAAATGCAGCTGCTTTCCCGAAGTTAACTTGCTTCTGTTATTGCATCTGTATAAGACACATTAGAAACTTTAGGATAAGTGCACGGGTAACTGAAGCCTAATGTTTTGTCTGCTGGAACAGGAAGCATTCCCACACAGCATCTACAAATCCTTCACTGTTCGAACAGAGCAGCAGCTGGATAAGTCGACAGAGTGCGGGAGAGAAGTCCACTGAGACAAATGGAAAGAGCAGGTGACAGAGAGTTTAGCCAGAGGAGGAGGCAAAAGGTCGAGCAGATGTGCAGAGAAAAAAAGTGGAAACTGAGGGGTTAGTCAGGTTACTTCTGTCAGGTTTACTCCTGAAAGTGAAGCAGAGGGTCTCATTCAGTAACACACAACCTTTGCATGACAACAGGTTAGTTAATGAATTTGAGAAGAGTAGAAACAGAGAACCAGTGTGTGACAAACTACACACACCTCATGATTCAGTTGCTTGTAGATCCACCAATAACAGCGATGACTTAAATACGTTTTTGTGTCTCTCACATCACAGTGGAAGAATTTTGATCCAGTTACAGTTTACAGTGTTGCTTCTGTTCATTGAAATTTGCAGTCATTTATGCAGAGCTCTCTTAAACTCCCACCTCAGGATTTCAATCAAGCTGCGGTTTGAACTTTAATCGGGCCATCGCGACACTTTCATTCTTTCTTTTTTCAGCCATTCTCTTGTTAATATGCCTGTGCTTGGGATTCCTGTGATCACTGACCCAGTTTGGGCAAATATGGCCTCATGTTCGACTCTTTGCAAACAGAGAAGTTTGTGGTTGACTCAGTGACTGCAAGGTGGCCAGGTCCCATGGCTCCATCATGCCTCTACCACTGCGCTGACAGTTGGTATGAGGTGTTTGTGCTGATATAGCATTTTAAAGAGGGTATACTTTCCTTTTACCGCGACTGTAGGTACCACATTTATGCAGAAATGTACTTCACGGTGGGCCGCTACTCTGTAATGTCCCTGCTGAATGTGCATTGCTGTCTATCAAACTTTACCCCCACCTCTTTCATTATGCTCTTTTTGTTTAGAGTTTTGTTTACAGAACATTTAACAGATTAAAGACCCAAATTTCCCCTCCTGATATGCTGGCGTGCAAAACTGAGGTTTATAATCACGAGTTTGCATGAAACCTGAGCCCAGAGTGTTGCTGCATAAATGCTGGCTGTGTAAATAAACATTGTTTTTTCCCTAACAAGTTTACAACATGCAGTGATTTGTCAGTGTTGTGATGACAGCTTCTTTCTCCAGAAAACAATGACCCCAAAACAGAAGAAATGCAGCTTTAAGAAGCCAACGATAGCTCGCCTTAACAAGGAAGTGGTGCATTACATGGACTATATTGCTCTTTTTACTGTCTTTTGTTTTCCTTAAAAACAACATTAAGCTAGTTATCAAATTACAATCTAAAATAGATAAGGCCTGAACAAAATCTGCATTCATAAAGAACAAAATGCACAAACAGGGCCGCAGATAGAAGTGCTGAAAACTAAAAGTAAAACAGGCGAGGTCAGAGTCGCTTAAATATTCTCCTTAAGTTTGTGGTTAATCCATCATTATTGTTATTTACCATTTGCTGTTGTGTGGATGTGAAGGGTTAAACCAGAGAGGAAAAAAAGGGTAAGGGGGGGAGGAAGAAAGAGCAAAAACAGACCAGAGATACTTGTGGTAAGAAGAGGAGGGGTGGTTCGAGTCTGCAGCCTCATAAAAAGAAAAATTTTGCAGCGGGTGAGGAAATAAGAGGAATTAAGGGACGGGGAGGAGGCTGCTTGCAAAAAAAAAATGTTTTTGGAGAGGAACTTGCAGAGGGAATCATATCCCCAAACCTATGAGATAATTTCTGGCCATCCCTTCCCTCTTCTCAGCTGACTTACTCGCTTCTTTTTCTTGTTTTTCTTTCTGTAAAACTGTTTTTATTTGCGTGTTTAATGGCATGTTTTAAGAGAAACGTTACCTTTAAATGTGAACACACACACACACACACACAAAGAGGTGCAGCATCCACACACACGCATGTGCAGGCTGCAGCCGATGTTTCAAGAATACCAGATGCTCGGCTGGAAAGCGTTTCTCTGAAAAATGTGACCGTTCCATCATTTTTTCCAGCTCGTTCCTCGACACATGACTGCCGACTTCAGGTCCAAATCAACCAGCGGTGTAACTGTATCCAGACGGCTCCTCTGCAGCCCTCCAGCAGCTGCACCAGGCTCTCCTGCAGCAGGCTCAAACCTGGTGAAAGCCCTTTATCAATTCAAACGTGACACATGACCTTTGACACATATCTCTCTCTGTCTTTTCTCTTTTTTCCCCATCTTTGTTTTCGTGCCGCTCTGCTTATTAACCCTTTCTCCTCTGAAGGCCCAGCACTGCGCTGTTTTCTCTGCTTCTGAAGGTTGCAGAGAACACTTACTGTAGGTCGAGGTGCTCACGGCTAGAGCTTATATGGATACTTACAACAGATTTTAGATGGTTGTGCACAACGGAAATCAGACAGCTTTTTTCACTTTCTCTAAGGCTGTGCATGAAAACACAGAAACACCGCAGTAAGAGCATAATCACCTCAGTTCAGTTCTGATGACTGTTTTTGTCCCACACAAGAGCATATAATGAAACGAAACACAAAAAACCCTCCTGAATGGAAAAAAAGGAGGAGAAAACCACAGATGTTGATCTGGAGACAGCAGAAGTTGAAACTGAAGGCAGCAGGAATGATGTAACCCTCCCAAACAACCAGTTTTGTCTATAAGAAAGACAAATTTAGTAGGAGACATGGCAGTGAAATAATATGGCATCAGCTGGCACACATTTTGATTGCTGTTGTCAAACCTTGTTTACTGACGTACCTCTAAAGCCGGTCCAGATGGACAGGATGTCAAACTCCCTTTGCAAAGGGGGCCAAATAGAGTTCAGCTCGATCTTAACTATTGTCTTATAACCTATAAAAACAGAGTGGTCCCCTTTCATTCAGTGTAAAATGTAACTATGAATTTAATCAATGCCATGTTTTTAGAAAAAGAATCGCAATATCAGTAATATGTTACTGAGAGTGTCGCATTGCGCTTTGAGTAATGCCCTTTTTTTTTTAACCAACCAATAGTAAAATAAATAAATGTTATTCAGTAAAAAACAATAAAAAACACAAGGTTCCATTTTCTGTCATTTAAGAGTTTATTTAGTTTACTTTGGTATATTATGGCAGGTCATGCGTCTCTTTGTCAGTTAAATATTCAGTATTTTCACGTTTTCCAAAGCCTTCCCGTGGGCTTTTGATTATACTGTGGGTGAAGCATTTTCTAGCACTGTGGTCATATGTTTGACACACCTGACTTCACCAAGCCCACCTGGTGATGCTCAGATGTGGACTTACCATCAGTGATCACATTCAGCTACCACTAAATGAAGCAGATCTCATTCATCTGGTGTGACAAGCCAACAATGTCTCTTGTTTAACTGCACTGTAGGCCTGAAATTTCAACCTCTGACGCTGATCATTTACATCTTTTCATTCATAATTTTCACCAGATACTTAAACTGTAAACTAGCATCTGCTGAGCTTATTAGTTTAACCGTACTGTTTGATAACAATTTCATCTCTTTAATGCAACAGATCATTTTTTGTCATTAACTTCCTTTATTTATATTTTGACCGTTTCTGCTACTAAATCACATCTCTGACTAACTTCACAGCTCAGATGTCTTCAGATCCACTCAGTGCTTCAGTTTTTGACCCTACTTTACCTACAAAAGTGTCCTCTGGGTTACATTTACCTTTTACTCGAATGGCTAGTAGCTACACACTTGGCATTTACTGTAAACTTTCGTTTTTCCGGTATCACTATTAAGACTGTGTATAAGTGTGGCGTGCAGAATGGGGAAATGTAGAAAAGAGTTTAATTCCACTCGATCCGATGAAATATAAACGTGAACAGGCAGGAAAAAAAGTATTTGTTCAATTTTATTGATAAAATCATCATTATAAATATAATTACCATTATCATTGTTATGAATTAAATCAATTTATCTTTAGATTTGACTGGTGTAAAAAAAAAAAAAATCAAGCACCATTCGCATTAATAAATAGAGTTGCTTGTGCCAACATCTGGGTTATTTTGGGTATTACAATAAAAAAATATCCCATATCTCACATTCACCCCCCTGATCTGAACTAATTCTTCTCACACTGGATGTAAACTGGGATTCATTTCCATCATTGTCACGTTATGCCTCTGTCCAGCAGGACTCCAAATGACAATGCGCAAAAACAAAGAAAACCAAAAGTATTCAAACTTTTCCAAGAGAACAATAATAACAATAATCATACTTATAATAACAAGAATTTCCATGAAAACAATCATAATTAAAAATTGCACCATGTTGTAGCTCTGCTCGTATTTAACATTACTGTACTTCAAAAAAAAAAAAAAAGAGATAAAGCATCACATTTAAAAACATAATCTTTACCATCTGACTGCTTGCACTGAGTTTGGTTTGCAAGTTTGAGTGTAAGACAAAATCCTTCGTGTTCATGTTTCGGTTTTTAGACTCGGTGTGAAGCCTGAATTACAAACCCACGTGTGTGCATGTTTAAGCCTGCATCAATCAAAGCTAACACTGTGCACAAGAAATGTGCTTTTACATAGAGAGCCACTACATACAGTTACAGGGAATACCGACTGCATCAAGTACCTTTCATTAACAAATAGGAACATTCACCCCCATAAACACCAATTTTAGATTTAAAAAAGCTCAGTTATTGTAAACGTTGCAAAACAGAATTAGTACTTTGTGTCATTTGTGTTAGAAAATATTGAAATCTTGGATTTATTCTCAGTGCTGTGGATGCTTTAAATCACTATTATGTACTGAGGTCATAGTTCCCTTGTAGCCTTGTTATTGGTTAAAAAAGAAAAGAAAAAACGAAACACTGATTTAAGAGGAAAATGTCATGTTGAAACTTTAAATCTCCCCCCTCAAAGTCCCAACACTGTTACCAGAGACAAATTTCTTGGTAAAAGTCAAACAGAAACACAGTTTTCAGAATTATAAGTGAGTCAGACAGCAGTTCAGGTGGAGTCGTCCAGTTAAGGGTAAGGATGGGATGAGATGGGGGACAGAGGGGAGAGGTGGGAGGTTAAGCTGCTGATGAGGATGAGTCTTTGTATATCTCCCTCCTCTGTGTGAGACTGCAGGTATTTTCTTAATCTCTCAACACACAACAGTACACGTAAATAGTTAACATACAAATATACATTTTCCTGATTTCAGTTTCAAGGGCCTTTATTGTTTTGTTTTCCCCTTTTTATGGCACTTACAAACCACCCAAAAAAACTTTAAAAAATGTCCCCCTCCTGTCTCTCATTTCTTCAGGTTTTTCTCCAGTTTCTCTCTTCTTCTTCTTCCTCTCGATTTCCATCCTCGCTCGGCCCTCGCTCCGTCTCTTTCTGTCCCTCTGCGGCAGTCTGTCAGCTACCTGCTGCTCTGTCTACACCTTGTCCAGCAGGGATCTCTTGCAGTAGAGGAGGCGTCGGGGCGTGCCGTACTTCCTGAAGAACAAAAGCGCTCCCAGGGTGATCACAACCAGCACCAGAAGGAGGACGGGGATCACCACGGCCAGGGGATTGGCCCAGCTCTCCGAATCCGACTCTTTGCGACCCTTCTTGGGGTCCTCGTTCTCGCAGCCCATCCAGTCTTTGAGCACGGACTTGGGGTAGCCGGACTCCACCTTCAAGTACTGGTTGTTAAACTTCCAGTACTTGTTGGCTTTGTAGAAATAGGTGTAAGCTGTGGAAACAGGGTCCGAAATGGTCACAGAAATTCTTTAAGTGTCAACAATGGAGCTGCAATCTAATAATTTTCATTCTTAAACTAATTCTGAGACTATTGTTGTTTCAGAAATCTAACCAGTGCATCTGAGATCTCAAAAAGAAAGCAGCAAATTAAAAAACCCTTACATCCATCTTCACTCATGATGGTTGCTTTGACGTTATCTGGTGCACCGGTCCACTTGCTGATGGGCTTCGGGTAATCTTTGTCCACTCTGCGAGTCTTCTCGTTGAAACGGTAATATCTGCAAATGACGGAAACATTAAAGACAAGAAATAAACGGCCTCGGGTGGGCACCTCGAGCAACAGAGGCAGAGCAGAGGACTCAAACTCGAAATCATATTATAGGCAGTAGTCCTACATCGGGCTTTAAAGGGTTGCTCCATCTCTTTACAAGTGGGATTTTTAAAAAAAATATGGCCTCAAGACGTGCAGATTGGTGGCCAATTAAAGGAAAAACTTGAGCCCTCGAGGCAATGACGAAACATGTGTGGTTCTTCCAGGATTTCAAAAGCCCCGTCCACGAGGCACGAATGATCACTCACTGGTTTGAGCGAAAATATGACAGTGCTGTGAATCATATGTTAACGCCTTTTAAGCATCTCGACCCAGTTAAACATGTGTGGAAGATTTTGGACTGGCATATAAAAACAGTGCTCACCATCAAACACAGGGAGTATCTTTAGAGAGGACTGTGCTCCATCCCTGCAGCAGAGTTCAGGGACTCAGAGGTCAACGCTTTGCTGTTCACACAGACGTCAGCGGCCCAACACATTACTGAGACGCTTCATGGTGACTTTTCCCCCCCTTTAATTAGCAAACTGTTTGTATTCTATCATAAAACCAATGTTAGGTCTGGAATTTGATCTTTTAAGATGTCTCGAAGCTTTGATGCAAGTCAGCCCTCACATATTTCCTCTATGTTGTTATTAAAAAACAAAACCTACTGTTACTGCTGGGGTAAAAATCAATTCTCATGCCCATCTGCAACTGTGTGTATGTTAGACAGCATGAGAGTAGCAGTGCTTATTTTTAACAAGTTCACAGATGAGCTCGCAAAGTGTTTATGCCCACAATCCTTTAACTTACATGTTTGAAACATGTTACATGTTCAACATAGATCCTTTAACTGGAATACATGTAAGTGTGTTACAAAAGCACAAGGTAAAACGTTAAATTTTACTGAAGCTGGTTAAATTACACTTCCTTGATAGCTATACATTAAGGTATATTTTCCTTAATGATTGATTATTTTAATAAATAAAACTTTGATTTGACATATTTCTGTTGGATTTTACTTAAAGTGATTCATGTTTATGAAAGCAAATCATTTTTTTAAGTGTACAAATACTGTTTTATGGGGCTTCACAGTAAAACCCATTTCATGAGGATATAACAAGAATTAAAAGTATAAAACGATTTTTTAAATCAATCTAACACCTAACATTACATGCAGATTTGAAAAGAGGTTTGGTATGATATAAAAAGTTACAAATACCTTAACAGATAAGGTTGCATATATTGTGAGAAAGGTTTCTTCTCATTTAGGAAACAAAATAAAACAAATGGGGAATAAAAAGGAAAACTCACTGAGAGTCTTTGAAGAAGTACGTCTGTCCTGTTGGCGTGTAGAAGAGAGCGGCGTCGATCTTATCTTCGGGCACACCAGCTCCCAGTTCCCTCAGGCTCTTTGGAGAGTCCTTGTCCATGGTGGACTCACTGAAAACCCAGTATCTGCTACCTGGAAGTTAAAAAGAACAAAGATTGAAAACAGACCATTTCGGTCAGATTAGAGTGTAGAACACATGCAACAGCTGCAGCGATGCAGTCATCATAAATCTGATTCTTCACTGATCCCATATGGAACCTACCCTTGAAGAAGACAAATTTTCCATCATCTCTCTCGTAAGCGGCATTGATGTTTGATGGTAGGCCTTTCCAGAAGTGGCTTATGAGCATCGGGTAGCCAGGCAGCACCTTGTGGTTGCGCAGACGCCAAAACCACTTGTCCTGAAAAGATACACGGGAACCGATCGACCCATTAAACAACCAAATCATTAATAATTAAAACTTCTGAGATTACCCAAATGTACCACTGAATGACATAAGAAATGTAGTTATGCCCTTTTGCACATCTTCTACAGAGAAAATAACAAAGATTTACAGTTTAAAGTAAACTTTCAATCAAATATATTTAATCTCCGTAATATTCTGGATATTATAATTGAGCTATTTGTATATATAAGAGCTATTTCTTATATTGTGTAACTTTGTGATGTAGTGTATTATTTCATTTAGTTTACATAGTTACTATTATTACATTTTGTAACCTTAGGGATAAATAAAATATTCTAATTCCGATTCCTCTACAAGCTGTAGTCAAGATTCCCAATATTTCTAACATCGATTAAAACGTTGATTTTTCAGAGTTAGCCCTGATTGTGCATTTTTATCTGCTGGGTTATGTTATTGAAAACACAGCACTCTCCCAACTCAAAGAAACCGTCTTTTGTACCTTAAATACAAACTTTTCCCCTCTGAGGACAGCGATGGTGTCAAAGTGTCCATCACAGACGTCAGGGCCATGGTCTGGCTTGTCGGGATTGGAGGGTTTAGTGGGACGAGGAGGAGGAGGAGGAGCCCCAGACTTTGATCCTATGATCAGAGAGAGAAGTGAAACATGCTTAATTTGCAGGACCGCAAAAAAAAATTAAATCTATTTTTAATTATGCTTAGAACTTCTTTTTGCTTTGCTACATATTGCAGTATTTAAAATGATGATTTATTGCACTTACTCAATAGTCGTCTTAAATTTAACTAAAAAAAGAACAATGCTGACACAGTGAAAGAAGGTTTTGTTATTTAGACATATTTTTTCAAGGACATTGTTTTAATTGTTAGGTTTTACTTGTTAGCGTCGTATTGTGTAGATAATTCAGGGGGAGAGCCACGCAGTCTCGTAATCTTTGAGTTCAGGTGTTGCCAGTCCCATCGGCACAGGTGTATACAAACAGCCATATAGTCTACTTTACAAATTTTTATAAATGAATGGGTTTTTCTAAAAAGCTCAATGAATTTGAGAATGGTGCTGTAGCAGGATGCTACTTTTACAACAAGTTCGTTTGTGAAGTTTCTTCACTCCTAGATATTCCACCATCAGCTGTAAGTGGTTTTATTGCAAAGTGGAAGTTTCATGAATCACAGCAATGAATCCATAAAGTGGAAGACCACATGAAGTCACAGAACGGGCTCAGTGAAAAACACCCTGCAGACTCCATAAGTGCAGAGTTCAGGGCTCCTCTGGCATTAACATCAGCACACCAACTGTGCACTGGGAGCTTCATGGCATGATTTTTCCATGGTTCAGCAGCTCCCGTAGGTGCAACGTGTAGGCGGCCCAATTATTTGTCCATAAAGGGTAGTTTATGGATTAAGCTTGCTAGCATTAGCTAATTAAGAAGAACTCTAACTTTACATATAAATATGGTACCTTTTGCCTCTAAAAGCAGATTTTAAAAACTCCAGTTTACAAAACAGACAAGTGATGTCAAGATAACTGTTTACTTTTTACTTATAGGCCATGGGACCAATGGGGTTTCTTTGTAAAAAAGTGACCCAGTAGCCTCAAAGAGGGGAGTCTCATAAAGTATTAGTGTCACCAAAAAAGTTGGTTCATTAATGAATAAAGGGCAGGGATAGCTCAGTAGGTAAAGTGGTCGCCCCATGATCGGAAGGTCGGCGGTTCGAATCCACTTAACGGCTACCCTGAGGTACCCCTGAGCAAGGTACCATCCCTACACACTGCTCCCCGGGCGCCTGCTTAGTGGGCTGCCCACTGCTTCACTGAGTGAATGGGTCAAATGCAGAGGAAAAACAAGTAATTTCCCCATGGGGATCAATAAAGTATCCATTATTATTATTATTAAATAAATGCCTGCTTCTTCTACTAAACCAACGCACCATAAATTGCCTGGATTCCTCTGCGGTCATCATCAGGGAGCTGGAAGTTTTCGGTGTCAAACCATTGATAGAAGGGGGCCATGATGGCAGCGGGGTCGTTGGAGTGCTCTAGACCCAGAGCGTGACCAAGCTCGTGGACAGCGACCAGGAAAACATCGTTACCTTCAAAGAGAAGATCAGAATGTTGCCGAAAGCTCTGTTCAAAGTCCTGAAACTATCGTTTTCATGATTTCAAACAATCTGCAATACACAAAGTTTGTCTTGTCCTCTTCTTCTCAACCTTTCACCCACTTCTCTTCTTTCTCTTACCTCCCTGATCGACTGTCCCAGTGGTCCAAGGTTCAGCAAGGTCAAAGTGCGTGTCCCCACCAATGGCTGGACCGGGGAAGTAAGCGTGAGCTAGGAAACCGCCCTCGCCGTCAAACGGTGTGCTGTCGCCGTGGAATCCCTCTGCAAAGGAGAGCATGATGTCTGCGTACTTAACAGGTGAGCCTCTGATCTGACTGAAGGGGATCTCTCTGAAGGTGAGCGGGATGGCGCTCTCCCACACCTTGAAGGCCTTTCGAATGGCGTCAAACGTGGCGCGTTGGCCCACTTTAGGGGTATAGTTCTCTATGCTGGAGAAGCAAAGAGAAATGAATCAGCTTACATCAATAATAACAATTTGTGATTAGCATTAGTCACTGTGTTTTCTTGAGCTAGAACCCAGTACACTTCATATTTCCAGAATAAATCAGATTCTATATGCAAGTTGTAAAGTAAAACCAAATCACTGAATAGTGTGGTGAATTCTGACCTGAAGGTCACCTCAGACTTGTCCCACTTCAGACCCTGCACAGCATATCTCTTTCTCCTCAGGTTGCTCTTCAGCACTGGTCCAAACTTGTCAGGAACGCCACATCGCGGCCGTTTCATCGCCCTGGAAACACAAAGGTAACACTTTCAGTTTTAATCCAGAAAGTATGTGGACTCCTCTGAAGAACTTGTGGTTATTAAGTCTTTAATAATGGCAGTTTTAGCTTCTCACACAGCCGCTTCTATCCAAAAGTGTATAAAGAATGTGACAGTCCGCTATTCACCTGTAATAATCTGAGGCCAAGCTGTTATCTTTAATGTAAACCAGGACTCACTCTATTGTGTTGGTGTCTATGGAGCCAGTGACGGTCAGTCCGTAAAAACTCTGCATGGCGGATATCGCTTTACTGATGGTGTCTGGTGAGCGGATGGCCTGGGCTCTCACATCACCTGGAGGCAGGTAGCCATACTGCTGCAGCCAAGCCTGATGGAGAGACAGAGAGAAATAAATGTTGAATAAGACCTTTAATGCACAAATCATTTTCTGACTAGCTGGACTAAGCTAAACACTGATGCTTTACTGAAAAGAAGAACTGTCTTGTATGTATTTAGTTTTAGAAATTCAGTACTATTAACATGAGCATTTTCATTCAAAGTGGTGTAATTTTGTCATCAAGAAACACGTAACGTTTAGGTACAAATGAGACATGTCAGTTATGGAAGTTGCCCATAGTTTGCATGGAAGATATTAATTGGCAGACAACTGTAAAAAGTGTAAACTGGAAACAAAGACAATAAAAGTTGTATCTTTTCAGTGGTAAAATACTGGTACTGGTTGGCAAGTAGTTGGCAAGTGTTTGCAGACAACTCAGCAAATGTGGCAGTCACACCCAGCGACATCTAGCAACTATTCCCGAACTACGGAGGGAAAACACGTTTCCCTCGTGACCACGTGTTGCTGTGGGGGTTGGCGACTGCTAGTTTTTTGGCCTAAGTGACAGAGACCTTGATTGGTAATTTACTTTGTGATTTTTGAGTCACACAAATGCATGTTTTTCAAATTTTTTGATGAAATAAGTAACTGAAACATAAAGAAAACACAAATTGTAAAACAGACAATAAGATGGATTAACATATTTCTATAATGTAAGAAAGTTTGTGGGCACGCTGCTTTAGAAACACCAAAACATCCTTTATTACTGCAGTATTTTCATCTATGAAGAAAAGTCACACTCCCACTACGCGTAAACCTTAGAAATCTACTGATGCGTGAGTGTAGAGTAAGTGAGGAGTGTGCTCGAATAGGCATGCTCACAAAAAGGAAAACTTCAAGCTTGTAAAAAATTTTTATTTATTTGCTAAAATAATATTGTTGCTATAGGAGACTTTTATTTTCTATTGGGCATATAATTGCTGTTGAAATCTGTTTTACTTTCTCTCTGAGTTAATCAGACGGGCCAAAAACAACAGTAAAACCACCTGAAAACATCAAAAAACATCTTAGTCAACAGAAAAGAAGGGACTGGCCTCCCGTATGAGCCTGTGGGTGTTTGTCTACTTCAAGTCAATTTTCAGAGCTTGTTTGGACCTGCTTCTCTTAGTTCAGCTGTACATCACACATTATATGGCAGATAATGGGTGTGTGTGGGTGTATGAGTGGGTTTTTGTGTGCCATGCTGTCTTGCTTAACCTCCCTCTTCAGCAGCCAACACACGCTGAGGTAACTCAGCATGCTAAATTTATTGTCTTTTCTTCATGTGACTGTGACATTACCCAGTTTATGGTTTCTTCAAAGCTAACATCAAACCCTCAAATGTCCCCTTGATTTCTGCTGGACTTGTAACGGGAAACTTTGTTGTGGGGTCATAAGGAGGCATGAGAGAGGAATTGAAAGCCAAATAAAACACTGATGTCATCTTTGTCACAATGACCCATAACTCTGTCTAGACGATCGCTGCCAAATACAGCTGTCATGAGGCTGGAAAAAAAACACCTTCAGGAACATTTGGGCTCCTCAAAGCTTTAACTTTAAGATCCCTTTGCCACTGTCTGTGTCTATTGTCCTCCTCGCTGTCTGCCTATCTGTGCTCTTGCCAACCGAAACCACCACTGTTTATCTTTACACACTAAAGGTCGGTCTTTTCTTTCCACTGCTGGTGGTCAAAAACTGGGCCACTGTAATGGAGAAGTTTGACAATGGGGGAAAGGGGAGAAAAGTCAGATGACACCTTCGATGGCACTCCTACTTGCGAGGAGATAAAAAAATCAAAGAGCTAATAGGTAGTAGCTGACAGTAAGTAGTTGTTTACCCATTTGTAGATAGAAGCTAAACTAAATAAAAAGCTGAGCTGAGCAACCTTTACACTGGTTTAAGGTACTTCTTGAACGCTGCCTTGAATTTAGATGTAAATGAATGTTAATAAATTAACATGGTACATAGGTTGCCTGCTCAACCAGGTGAGCTAAAGGTTCACAGCCATGTATAACACACACGATATGGTAGACAGTGGGTGTGTTTGTTTTTATGAGTAGGTTTGTGCCACAAAAGATAGATGTATTAATCCTTTTATGGCAGTAATCTGTGCTTCTTGCTTTCTAAAATCTCTGCATGACACGGAAACAGCGTCAACATCCGTCTGTCCACATTTTAGTCTATGCCATCATGGACCACAAACTATTTTGATCAGGGAAATGAGGTCAAGGTTTTAACCATGTTTGGCTATAAATAGACAGCCTAATATGCATAATTTGAGTCAACATATAAAGGTCAAAATGTCTAACAAATGGTTGAAACAGCTAGCTAAACAAATAGCTAAATTGTTAGCCAATACAGAAAGTGCTAAAACTGCTCTCAAGTACCCTGGCGCATTTAAAACTGTATGGTTAAATAAATAAAAATGCTAATAAACATACTTGACCTTATGAATAAAAAATGAATTTTAACTAAAAATAAATTGCAATTGCAAGCTAAAAATATGACAATAGAAAACAAAATCGCTAACAAGGATAAACGGTTGAAATAGCTAGCTAAAAAAAATCTGGATAAGCAGTTTAAAGTTGTCACTATACTTGGCGGATGTTGTTTTATCACTATGTTCTGTTAATACTGTGATGACAGCAAACATCACAGCTGGTGTTGATAAAGGGTTCTTAAGTCAGTTTCGTGACATTTTAAAAAGGCTGTAGCTTTACATTTGACTATCAGATACTGGAGTTGTAGCTAACTCATCATCTCCTGACTCCCTTGTTGAAGCTAAATGCATCTTCAAGTGTGTGTTTCCAATTATGTATGTGCACACACAGAGTTAAAACAAATTTTTATCCCCACCACAAATTAAGCCAGTGGAATTACCCCAAATTCTTTCGTTAGCGTCATCTAAACCTCAGATATCTCTCTTGTTCCACCATATGTCCTGGTTTTCTCTTCAAGCCTGCCTCCAGCAAGTGAAGGGCAAACCATGGATGGAAAAGGAGCAACTGGGCAACAACTGGGCCATCCACAGCCTGTGCACACACAGCTACTGTTAGTCATGTGGTAGGCAGAGAGGCCAGAGAACAAGGTTCACTTATGTTAACCCGCAGAGCGACGACTTATCCCCCTTCTCCCTATCTTTGCATATTCAGTCGGATTATTTAAACATCTAGTAAATGTATTTTATCCTCTGACTCTCTAACACTAACCAACCAAATTTACTTTCTCTGCCTCTCCACTAAATACGACTAGTGTGCCCTGTGGCTCCAGTGCGGTGAAGCGTCTGCTTCTATAAAAACACTCTCTGCTCCACTGCATGAAAGTCTCTCCCACACTGTGAGGACCTCCACTTCTCTCCTCTAGTCCCAAACTACTCCACACACCGCCACCACCTCCGGTCGGAGCGCCAGGTATCCCAGCATGTACCTCGCCTCTGTGGAACTCCCTTACAGCCACCATCAAAGCTTCTATTTATTAAGATTTGTACATGGCTGGTATTGTTGACCTGTGGGTAGCCAATTACCTGGCTACACAGCCATGTGTGGTCAAAGTACTGCTGCTGGTGGTTGGTAAACACACCTTTGAGCCCGTGTAGTGACGTGTGGTCTGAACATATAATGCACAGAAACACAACTGATGCAACGTAGTGGAAAAGTTGGCAAAGCTGCACGATGTAGCTCCACTCTGTCGCTTTATCGATAATTAATCATAGATTGATTCAGTTGCCTAAAATGCAGTTCTTCCAGCTCCCATGGTGTTTTTGCTCTTCTTCTGTGTCATTTACATATCTGCTGGGCTTAGACTGATGAGGAAAACATTTCACTTTGGGGTCTGGCAGAACTGACGTGACATTTTTCACTATTTTTTTTCTCCATTAAAGAGAGAGGACAAAGTATCCCAACAAATATGGTTGTGATAAGAAGCCAAATACTGAACCGTAGACAGATGGATGTTGATGTTGTTTCTCAGTACAACAGATCAATGGGTCAGACTGTTTCTTAAAAAGAGAAAAATGCAGATCAAATGATGGCAAAGTAGGAATTAAATGCATTTGTCGTTGTCTTTAAACAACTAGAAATAATGGGGTTAGTACACAGGCAAGTAAATAAAATCAAGAACACGTTTAAGGCGCTTAGGAGTTTGTTTATCTGAAATGATTTAATGGTACAATTAGCTCAGTAAGTCTAGGCCCAAAAAAGTGAAGGTATCAGTTTGACTCATTATTCTTAATTTTTTAAAAGAAAACTTTTCCTATTTTCTATATTCCAAGTGTCCAGGTGAACTATTTTTCAACCATTACTAGATTATGACTTGGTTATTCAGCACTGAAATGTTTGCTGGGGCATTGGTGGCGTCTGGTCACAGAAGAGTTGAAGAAAAACGCAGAAAGAACAAACTGCAACGTTTAAGTTTGAATCTGGATCATTGGCTTTGGCAGATGTTCTCTCAATGATATCCTGTAATTCCAACAATCTGCAGATTAAAGATAGAATTAAAATGCTCAGCAGCAGTTTTACCCTTCACTGTAAATTAGATGGCAACGTATTAAGCTCGAAGCAAGTCCCTGAAATTGAGGAAACATACTTTTAAAGCTCATAGCTGCTTTTTCTTCTTCAAAAACTCTCGAGTGCTGTTGGGAGTGTGTTTTTGATTGTTATCCTGCTGGAATATTCTTTTTCTGCCAAGCTTGTGGAGCCTGGCAGTCACCTTTTGCACTCATGCAGCCCCGTATCCCAGCACCTTAAACTCCCTGTTCTTTATATGCACATTTCCGTATAAACAGTTTTGGCACCAACTAAAGAAGTTTTTTCTTTGATCATTGTTAAAATCAGGCTTCATTTCGTCACGTCATAAAATACACTTTTGTTCATCGAAAGGCCAGAAGTACCAGAAAAATGTCCAGACTTCTGTGAACCAAGGTATTACAGACTCATTGCCTGGACTTTCTGCAGATCAATCGGGCTTCCAGACGCCCATTTTAAAGCAGAAAAAAACCCCTGATTGTGAGGACGGAGTTATCTTGGCGTCATCTTATCAAAGGAGACTATTCATCGGGCTTCTTTTCACAATCTTTAGAAAAGTCTCACAGTTTTGTACCCAAAAGCATGCAAGGTTATTTTTCTGGGATGCAGCACACAGAGATGGACCTATGTGATATCCTTTGCAATGCCTGAGCTGTCACAGCAACTCATCCCATTCCCTTTCCATCTGTGCTAAGACAGGATGCTCTTATCTTTCAGAGCTCAAACTGCAAATACTGGCACTGTGGCTATCGCCTGGTCACCACTGCTGCTTTTTTTGTTGGTCAGAAATCTTTATATTTTCCCGCTTTTTTGAAGCCAAAAATCAGATTTTTTTTTTGTCATTTCTTTGTAAAGTCTTCCCCACATGGAGCCAAAATGCTGCCACGCAGACACAGCGGCACACTGGAACTCAAAGGTGCGGTAAGTTTTGCTTCTGTGATCACAGATTCTCTTACTCATTCTACTTTTAGGCCTATATTCTTCAATTTAAATACCATTACTGACAACAGGAACTTTTCCACTTATCAACACAAGATCTCTATTATGTCTGAACGTAGAGTTGCCCATCACAGGCCATGTGGGTGCACTCTCATGAGACTGGAGGTGCGCACACATACGTAAAGCCAACCACAACTTCCTCAAGATGTCATGAACTAGAGTTAAGAAAAAAATTCCAGGAGAATTTATAGTTCTTGAGGTCAAAAACAAAGCGATGAAGACACTTCCTCTTCAGAGGAAGAAGCATCATATGGGATTTTTTTTTCTATTTGTGCAATAAAAAATAGACAACAATAACAAGAAAGACAATGGTGTGAGTTTCACGGACATATTTATATTATAAACGATGCTAAATCACGCTCTTCTGTCCACTGCACTGCTGCTAAAACACTAAACGCTGCCTCTTTGACTTTTTTTGATGAAGACTAATTTTTCCTGTCTTTAAAATCTCAGCAGGAATGAGCGAAGAAAACAGACTGACCAGAGCAATGAGGGCAGCAGAAGATGATTTAAAGTGCAGAGTTACTTACATTAAAGAGGGAAAGGTAAAAGCATTAAGGACAGAGAGTGGGCACAGACACAGAGAGTGAGAGGTTAGGAGTATGGTTGAATTTAAAGTTGAGGGACTGAGTCAGTTGTTCCTCTCGCCGTGTGCCAACGGAAAAAACTGAGAATTCTGCTCATGAGCGGCTGAACCTCTCATTGCTTCAATTCTTGGCGTCTCTGACCCAGTTAGCACTCACACCAGCGCCGTGCAAAGTTTTGTCTGCTTTCATGTGTCTTCCTGGTCAAACAGGTCATAAAATGCACTCACCGGAGGTTTTGGTTATGGTGAAACACTATTATACTGATGCCCGACAGCTTTATAGAAATATTTACTGAACTGTCTCTACACTCTGCACCACAGCACAGTTCTACTAAAGTTCTCTTTCTTATTTTCAGAGGGAACATATTAGACTGTTTATTGGATTTTTGTTACAACTGTAGTTAATATTTGCACTGTGTGGACAAAAGTATTGGGAGACACCTCTGAATCTTTACATTCAGGTGTATTAAATCAAACATCTAGCCACACAGTCTGCTTTTGCAATAATCTGTGGAAGAATGAATCGTTCTGAGTCCGAGTGTGGCGTTGTAACGGGACGCCACCTTTGCAACAAGTCAGCTTTTGAAACTTCTTCTCTCCAAGATATTCAACAGAGGCTGATTATCAATGAATTATTGCAAAGTGGAAGCATTTAGGAACCACAACAACTCACAGTGCGTAAAAGTCACAGGCACTCTGCTTACTCAGTAACTGCAGAGCTCCAAAGCTCCTCTGGCATTAACATCAGCACCTAGACTGTGCACCAGGAGCTTCATGGCCGAAGCTGCAGCTCCTGCAGGTGTAACGTGTAGGTGTTTAATTTAATGTAAAAATGAAGGTTTTGTTCCAAAGCATTCGTAAAATGGCTGTTTAAAAATCGTTAATATGTCAAATAGTACTGCACATCTGGCCTTGAATCAGCTGTACACCTGAGACCAAAACCAGTAAGAGTGCAGTTTCAAACTGCATCTATTTTAAGTTAAAAATAGCTTAAATTGAAGCCTCCATTAGTGTCACAGTTAACTCTTTGATGTCCATATTCTTAGCCCGGTCAGCACAGATAGCCCCTCAGCTCTCTCTTGAAGTCCATCAGTTTCTCATTAGGCCTGGTGCAGCTGATTATTTTGACATCTCTTAGGTGACAGCTGCGGCCTGTCAAAGCAGCACGCAGCAGATCTCGAGCAAGGGCTTCCCTTTGATGCTACATCAACAGCGGCTCCAGTCAAGATAAAGGGAATTGAACCCAGATGTGTTTTGACCAGATCTGTACAAGCCCGCTGCTAGGATCATAAGACATGCGTCTCCAGATGGCAACAGGAAATCTCCAGATTTTTTTTTTTAAAGTCAAGAATCCTGTTTAAGAGTCTGTTGTTTTCATTGCTGCCCACTTCCTCTGCTCACGGCGTCTAACTAAGCATTTTATTTAAGTCAAGAATTCATAGAGAAGGCAGAAAAAAGGGGGAGAATGAAAACAGATGGTGGAAGGAAAACTGGGTACTTCAGAAGAAGTGATTTAATTTTCAGAGCATAGGGGGAAGTCTTACTTCTCTGTTAGCCGGGCTTCTCTTTTCACTCAGCTTGGATAAATTGGGATTAGTTTGTCAGAGCGACGTTGACAAGTTGAGCAACACTGATAAACCACAAAATTCCCGTAAACTCAGTATGAGTTACTCCGCCCACCCTCCCCAAAAAAAGGATCTTCAGCCACTTCAAGTAAACACTGATGTCACTCACTTGTTATTTTGTCTTTGCTGCTCTGGTTTTTCCACACTTGTTATTTTGTCTTTTGCATCTCATATCTTTCCAGCAGCAGTTTATTCTACTTTCTCCACACAGATGAGTCTCCTGTTTGATCACAGGTTTCATATACAGATCTTAGGTGATGTAATCCTCAACCTATAATTAAAACTTATCCTTCTTCTCCATCAGGGCTGACTGTTGTGTCTGACAGTAAAACTGTGTGCACAGCCTCCATCGCCAGACGTGACAGCCGCAATTCACCCGATCGTGTTTCTTTTTGCACTGAGGGTTATTGATACATCGCTACGTTGGTGTTTTCTAGCTGTGAGAGGCGACGCTGAAGTACACAGCCGTGTTTTCTCACTTTGTTTACAGACATTCATCGCCGTGTTCGCCACGGGACAGCAGCCTGCGGCGTCCTATAAACTGTCTGACTTTGAGTTATCCACCTTGTCTGACTTGACTCACACGCCAGCAACTTGTGGTCAGTGACTAAGGTCCTCCTTCGTGCTTCTCGTCTCCGCACAGAGCTGCAAAACACTCTCGTAAATTGAAATTACTTCTTTTGCACAATTGGGATGACTCAAATTTCACATTAAAATCTTTAAATGGTGCATCCTGTCCGTTATAGGAAGTGGATGGTAGACTGCAGCGTGCCTGAATGTCACGGGACATTGCACCATAAATGGTCACATAAATGTACTTTTGAACGATGATGTTATGGTAAACTGGAACTTTTAGTAGGTATGTTGTGCATAAATGGACTGAGACTACAACCACCCACGGTGCTTGAACTCAATTATTTTGGAGATCCGATGGCAGAATAAGTTTTTCAGAAGAAAGCTGCACTCTTCCTTAGTATTTCCAGGCTGCTGACACCTCTGTGCATCATGTCCGGCCTCACCAGCTTCCCATCTGTGCTGCCTGTGCAGGCAAATGAAAACCATTAACCCCCTCCCCCTTAGTACCACCACAGTACGCCCCCCCCCCCCCCCCCACTTTTTTTTTTTTCTCAGAACAAAGCAGCTCAGCTGAGATTTCCACACTGTACACAGCCACTGCACGGCTGGGTCTCTGCCACTTACTGCTGAAAACTTTTGACTCATGGCTTCTTTCCCCCTGGATGGAAAAATAAAGGTTGGGAAGTTCTTGGAAAAAAACGTCAGGCTGTTTGAAGAGGAGAAAATAAACATGAACTGTGGCGGCTTTTAGTGGAAAAAAAACAACTAAAAATTATAAAGTTATAGGGAGTAAAGGTCATTGGAGTGTCACGGTAATAGATTACTATACAGTTATTAGTAATACGTGCTTTAAGTACATGGAAACCTCAACTCTTCAAAAAAGTGAGCAAACACAGACAGAGTTTCACGAGTACTGTGGGAGGAAAACACACCTGAAAATGCAGACACGCTGCAGCTCGTATTGCACATGCAGAAATGAACGTGTAGCCTCTATAAATGTGCACTGCATAAAGTAAATGCACCTCCAATTCACTTACCTCGGCTTTTAGTACGTCTGCGATGACGGAGGTAAGACCGAAGCAGCAGAGACCGCAGGCCAGGGCGAGGACCCGGAGTATCATTGTGATATCTGGAGATTATCTCGGAGATTTCAGGAAGCTTTCACTCTACACAAATCCGTCCTGATTAGGGAGGACAAAAAAAACAAACTCCAAAACAAAATCGACTGATGCTACTCCGCGTTGTAAAACGTGGCACAAAAACTTTGTCGTATCCGCATGGACACTTTCAGGGCAGTCAGCAACTTTTACGCACAGAAACGATCGCAGCAGAGTCGGAGCCGAAACAACAACAAAAAGCAAAAGGCTGAAAAGGGAAAGAGAGATGCTGCAACCTAAAGCCTCGCAGTCTGACTCCCTTTCCCCTATAGCAGGACTACCTGTGGCGTGTGTGGACGTGGAGAGAGCGAGCAACAGAGAAGGGAAGAGGGGGGGGGGGGGGGGCTCATTTTCTTCAAGGTCCTCCTCCAGTAAAAAAAAACGTCACGCTTCGCTAGGAAGTTCAATTACTACACTACTACACTTTTATTTATTTATTTGTAATTAAGGGAGTGATTACGAAAATAAAAGCTCCATAACTGAAAACACTGAGGTCGCACTCCTGATGCTTTTTCAGTATCAGTATGAAGCAGAAATGTTAATTTCTGTATTTGGAAGCTGAAGATTTGGGCACCGGCTGAAGTTAACATGTGCAGAAATGTCTGTCAGTGTCCCGAGTGAACACAAGGACAGCATGACGGTCTGGGTTTAAGGAGAAGAGTTAGGCCACGTTTCACGTTGTGTTTAAATGCGCATGCCTCACCCATTAACATTTAGCTGATTAAGATTTCCACCTAAAAGTCCCTGCAAGTTCAAAACAGGTAAAAAACAAAAAAAGGCTACACATGCAATGATTTTAAGGTCTCCTTTACATTTAGACTGTTACTGAGTGTGACTGAAGGCAAGATAGTCAGGCAACATTTCCTTCAGATAAGTTAGAAGGACTGGGAGCAAGACTTTTTTTTCTCCCTCTCATAACTTGCATAGTTTCCAAACATTTTGAGGAGAGAGAAAAAAAAGTCTTAATATTGGACCTCCTCCTTTTTTCTTTGTGCTCCTCTGTGCCAGACAAGAGGAGAAAATGCTGTGCTTCTACTCACTGAGAGTGGGCTTGTGTGCTGTGGGGTTTTAGTTTCACAGCAGTGGTTGTATGATCTCATAATTCACAATACTTAAAAAGACTGTTTAAAACAAAATTGCCAGTTTATGATTTTGTTGAGCGTGATGAATGCATGTGTCCTGTATGTTGTTTGGGGCCCTGTGTCCTCATTAAATCTCCAGCTCTGGGTGAAAGTGTGCAAAACAATGTTTCAAACTTGATGCAAGAAAATTTTAAACTAGCTCAGTGCTGTGAATGAAGTTGTCAAGCTTATGCTCTACGCATAAACTGTTATGCTTTAGAGAAGATTGGAAATCACTGCAGCCGTGCAACAGCAGAGTTAAAAGTTAAAAAGTTAAAATAGAGTGAAGTGAGTCAGTTGAGTGGAGTGAAGAAAAAGAACAGGACTCTGAGGGATTAAAGACAGTGTGTTTATTTTCAGTGAAGCAAATAACAAGACTGACAATAGAAGGAAAGTAAGTTGGTGGGTCCAGGACTCTAGTGCGAACAAGCCCACAGATGAATCCATCAGAGGAAAACTCTCAGTAACTCACGCAGACACAGCTGGGATCCCTGTGCAGAAATGAGATACAGGTGAGGAGAAGACAAAAACCAGAGCGTGTGAAAAGTACTGAAGAAGGAGCCAACTTCACTTCACTGTTTCCAGTTCAACTATCAGGCATCGACTGAAAGATCTCCTCAGTCTTAAATAGCAGACAGCTCTTACCGATAAGTGAGTTCATTATCTCCAGGTATGCTGGAAAGGCAGGAGAAAGTAACCCCCCCTGCAAGAGAAGGTGTGTTTAACTCCCACACACACACACACACACACACACACGCGCACACACACACACACACACACACACACACACACACACACACACGCACACACGCACGCACGCACGCACGCACAAGTTAACCATGTGAGGTCTAAACCATCATTGGTGACAACCCTGACACGAGCTCCAAACCCTAACCAGACTGTTTTTTGGGGGGAAAGTAAATATTCCGATTTCTGTTTTCTTCACTGTCTGTTTGCCAGATCTTGGGACAACAACTTAAATAAACAAAATGACATGTTATGATTGCTCATGGTCACTCCTGATGATGACTTAGACCTCACAGGCCTAAAATCTAACATCTGCAGGGAGACACGTCATTCGGGTTTTCTTTGATTGGATATGATTTGGCACAAATGGACTTCATTTGTGCCAAATCATATTTTCATTTCTATTCACCATAAACACCACAGACTTCTACAACTCTGCCGAATGCTTTCTAAAAAAGTTTTCTGATAACTCAGCAGTTGTTGGCCTCATCACTGATGGGGACTGCAGTTGGTACAGAAAACAGACCGAGGACTTTGTTGACTAGCACCAACAGAACCTCTTCCAGATCAATAATGGGAAAACCAAGGAGCTGGTGGTGGACTTCTACAGCTGCAGATATCTTCCACATACACCAGCAAACATCCAGAGAATGGACATTGAGATCTTGGACTGATATACATATCTGGGTTTTCACCTGACTGATAAACTGGACTGGACTAACAACTCAAAGGTCATCTACAGGAAAGGTCAGAGCAGGCAGTATCTGCTATGGAGAACGAGGTCTTCTGGAGTGCAGGGATGAGATCTCATCTCATCTTATTGTATCTTATCTTATCTTATCTTATCTTATCTTATCTTATCTTAATTACTCAATCAATCAACTTTCTTTCTCCTTTCATTTAAATTCAGTTGTGAAACACGCTTCCACTGGACATAAGACTCATGGACAGACTCATGTTGATACCTTTAAAAAGGAACTTAAGACCCACTTGTTCAGGCTTGCCTTTATTTAGTTTTATCTATTCATCCTATTTTAATAATTGTACTTTATTCTGTATTGTATAAATAAACTTTTCTCACTTCCCTGTTTCTTCTAGCATCACTGGTGAAGTTTGACAGCAGAATAAAGTTCATTCAAATCAGACTCCATTTTTATGAATTAAACCTGGTGTCGGATATTTGTGACAGCTGATACTGACACCTTGTGTTAACAAATGCACATTTCACCTTTTAAGACCGTGTCCAATCAGCAAATGTAGTTTGTAGACACGCGTTAATTTGCTATATTAAAAAACACTATGAGTTTGTTTTAAATTCAGCATAACCGCTTGATATTTAAAATTATATATATATACACAGAGAAACACATTTTTATGAATGAGGATTAAAGCTGTAGTAAACCTGCAGCTCCATTCGGCGGCTCCGGTTTTAGCATGACAAGCTCCGCCTTCCTTGCCCTACGTCAGGAGTTGTGATATACGGAAGTAGCTTCGAACTTGTCAACAAGAAAGGCCGACCGACATGGTAAGGGCTCTGTACTTTTTTATGAATTACTTGTGTTATTTCTGCTTCTGGACTATATATTTTAGTTGGTTTGTGTGTTTAAGTCGTTCGTGTTGTCCTCACAGAGCTTTTATGGGGGTGTCGCGGTTTGAAAAATGCCCTTCAAACGACGCGAGCAGTGAGATTTGGCGTTAGCCTTTAGCTAGGCTGGGAACTAGCTGTTAAAGCTGTAAAGGAGAGCAGCTGCTCCTTTCTCCAAACCGAAACTGTGGCGTTACCTAATCTGTGGTCGAAATCTTAACACGGATGGACATAAATATGACTTTAATCAAGCAGAACTCGATCTCGGTATAGTTTTATCTTAGTGGGAAGAAGAAACAGGGAGGAAAGTGTTAGTTTTCACGGGGGTTTTTTTTTCTCGGAAATGGGAGCGTTTCTGGCGTCATTGTTGAGAAGATTACAGGGAGGAAATCGCTGTGTGTGTGTCGGGTGTTACGTCTGACTGTGTGTAAATAAAGATCAAAATAACATCTGTGTTCAAGGGGCCTTTGCTGAGTTTTCCTGCCTTGATACTTCCTCAGTAACTGATTATTTTCGTGTGTATTAATACATGCTGGTGCTTGTGTGTGTGTTGCATAACGCAGAGGCATTTTTCCGCTGCTGTCCTTTTTGTAATTGTGGTTATCTTAAAAGTACCTTGTAACAAAGGATCTAAGGTAGTTTTAAAGCATTTTCAATATAAATAATGAACTTTATAAAATGTAGTATGTGTAATATTACTATATAATTAAAAATGTTATAATCCTTATATGAAGATAAGAAGTGATGGACGCCCAGTTTATTATTAGTTATAAACTCAGTTCAGGGATGACACTTAATTCTGCTCCACCGTCAGCTTACATATGACTATATTCTGCTATATCTACAGCATGCATTACTCACAGTATAGTTTAAGTTACTCTTAAACACATGCTCTAGTGGTTTACACCTGCACCTAACAAGGGAACGATTGCCGGTTTGATGCTAGGAAGAGATACAAATCCCCTTTGGGGAAGGGGGTTGCATGAGGAAGTTGCTCCGGCATGAAAACACATCAAACGCCTAATGAACAATGGAGCATCTAAACGTTACTCCTTAATTTAAAATCTTACTCATTATAACTGCTGCCGACAGCTGATTGTTTCAGAGAAGCAGTTATTGTGGATTTGATTGCGGAAATGGCTATTTTATGATGACTACGATGGATAATAAACAAATTAAAATAGCCAGTGTTGGCTCAGATGTTTTTGTGTTTCTCATTTGTCGTCCAGACAAACTTTGATAGTCGTTCACCCAGATCAAAGATGTGTCTCACTCATCTTTTCTTTTTCTCTACAGGCGAAGTCTTCTTGAACAAGACCTCCTGCCATGGCACTTCTCTAATATTTCTTTTTTACGCCCCCCCCCCTCTTAACTTTTTATTAAAAAACATTTTTAAACATTAAAAAAAGAAACGTTACCACAATGAAAATCAGTTACAGCTTCCCTGCCCTCCTGGTTTTCTGCATAACAGGTGAGTGAGTGAGTTTTTGGCTGTTTGTGTATCTCTCTTAGGTGGCTGCTTTAAATGTTTATCAACCAAAGGTCATGTTTGAACTTTTCGTGTCATACAGCATTTACAGTCTGTGTGAGTGGCGATAATAAAGCACATTCTCTGTTCTCTTTTTGCTTATTTCCTCTGCAGCATGGAGCCGTTTTGAGCCTGCTCTCAGCTCATGTAAGGAAAACCAGTCATTGCATGTTTCATCATGTTATGAAAATGAATATGCCTCAAACCCACAGATAATAAACAACACCATTCATGGTTTAGTGATGTTTACATTTACATTTTCTTCACACCTGACAGGTTCAACATCAAACAACAACAACACTTAATTTATTCGCCAAACCAGGAAC